CCTGCTCTGCAAGTAGAATATTTATTTGCTTAATAGATTCTAAATAAAAACTGCAATCAGTCACCACAGAAATTGCACATCATTACATAACACCCAGCAATTGATTACCAGATGCAGATATTGAACTGAATTTTTACTTTTGTTTTTCACAAAACAGCAAGATAGCTTTTAACTCTTACATGCTACCTAAAATCTAGTACCTGTTCCTTTCCTGCCTTTCTTAAGGCTCTACAATTATCATTCAATTACATATTATAGTAAAATTACTTCAACTGCTGTTTAATTGTAAAAGTTTTTTTGATGTATGGTTCCCATTGAGAATTTTAATTGTAGGGCAGAGGCACAAATCCATACTTGCTTTACTTCCCCATCTCAGTTATATGACCTACCCTGTATGTTCTTAACACAGTTTTCTTTTTTTTCAGTGATAGTAACGTGTCAAGAAATAGGCAGATTGTTCTCAAACTGTAGCACAGAATCTTCAGAATTCACTATTGTACATTTGATGCCACAAATGTTATCCCTTTTTTGCACAGTTCCATTTTTGTAAAACTGGGAAACACTTTTACGCAAACACTAAATCCCGAGTTTTAATTCTTACAAAATAGAAGCCTGCTTTGTAGTGGTTTATGAAGAGGAAAGAGAAGCAAGAAATAGCATACAGAAACATATTGATCATTCATCTAGAGTCCTGTCTGCAAAAAAGACTGGACCATATATTTTAGAGGAAAGCCTAAAACTATTTCTTGGTACGAAAAATTACAGTGTGACAGAAAAACTCCCTTCTTAGCTCATTTAATAATTCCTTTGTTCCCAAATGGATAATGATTAATAGGCTCTTGTAATTTTAATCTCAGTTACTATTGTTTAACTAAACGTTGTTGGGGGTGTGTGTTTTGTTTGTTGGGGTTTTTTTTGATATATTTTTTGCTGCTACTGGATCTTATTTCACTTGTCATTAAATGCCAGTTGTTTAATCTGTTGTGTTTAAGTTTTGCTTTTAGGTAAAGAATAAGTGAAAAGATCTGATATATGTATCTTGCACTTTGTTTTACTTCATATCTGTCATTATCCTTCTCAAATTGAGGTAGAACCCTTTATGCCCCATAAACTGGAATTCCATTAGCTTTAGGAGATTCTGCACAGGCAAAATGCTTAGCATAAAGAGAATATTTTACAAATGTATGCACTGGAAATCCCCATCTTTTTGTACTTTGCCTTGTAAAACCTCTATCTTAAGAACAGACGGACAGCAAAACAGGCTCAAACACCTCAATCCCTTACCCTCAAGTATTCCTGGGCCCAGAGCAAATCAAGGAAGATCATCCTCACTTTGACCACACCCAGATGATACTTCCTTCACTGTCACCATATGACTGTAGCTGAGGACTGCAGAGAGAAATCACCTATACATTCTAACCTGTAAGTCAAGCCAGGACAAGAATGCAAAGCAAGAACCTTTGGCAGTTCAAAATTTGCTGACAAGTTTGCCTGAGACTCCATCATTCCAATGGCTATTTGCCCCAATCTGACTTTCATAATGCTTTACCGTACACACGTTGCTCTTCCCTTCTGTTTTTCCCAGCTTATCTTTTCCTAAGTAATCTCTCCTCACCCATCCCAAAGTCCCAAAAGAATACAATGAATGTGTTTTGATGCCATTGCACTGCTTAAGGGGTATCATTCTTCCCCACAGTGAATCTATCTTGTCTACTTGATCCTAAATTCTGTTAAAGTCTCTATGCTATTCTGTGTTTATACAATGCCTAATAAAATAATAAATAAATAAAAAATCCCAATCTTGGATGGTCTTTTAACACACAAAAGGAAATCATATAGCCAATTTGAATGTATTTGCCTTGTGATTTTTGAACTGGGTTTACTTACCCCATGATAACGACTGGATCTTTTTTCTTCTCTGAATTTACTCAAATTCTGAATTAGCTCATCTTGTTCAGCTGAAGCACAAAATAAAGCAGTCATTCTTAGCTACTTCCGTGTGGTCAAACAGATCTCTGGTTGATTTCTACAACTCTGCAAAAGACATTAATTTCATTTTGCTTTCTAGATAGCAGAATAACAAATCAGCAAAACTTAATAGCAGACTAATTATTAAATCTTATGCAGTTGTTTTCAACCTAGGTGGCTGGTGGGACATAACTTTCTAATTTTCTGTTTAATTCCTTGACTAAATACTTAAAATGATAAACCAACAGAAAAGTGGAAATCTAACTGGAGGCTATGTTTTTTTGTTGTTTACTTTTTTTACCAGAAAAAGCAACTATGAGTAAGAATAGCTATGTTTGCTAAGTTTGTTTGTTTAAAGGATAGGACAATGGAAATGACACAGTGGGTGTATGTGAAATGGGCCCACATATAACACAGAAACTGTGGAATCAAAGAGATATAAAACCCCTTGGGTCTTTAAACCTGGGACTTTGAGCTTAAATAACATAGACAAGCTTAAATAACATAGACACAGAATTATAAACCAGGCAGCAAAGTAGGTGGCCACAAAAATAAGTGGGTTATCTTTATGCAGGTCCATCCAGTTATCTCAGTTTCCAAACATTACATAATCTATATTCTGAAGAGATACATGACAAAACTAGTAAGTATAAGTAATAGAATTATGGTGTTTCACTGGTCTCTTTTTATACACATGAACACTGCTTTAAGAAATAGAGTTTACTTTCCAGAGTTCAGCACACTAGAGATTTATCAAAAAATTATACTATGCACATAGTAAGTAAAAGGGGACACTTTCACTTCACTACTGTAACATGACGCTGTCATCAACTGCCAGAGGAGGAAAAACAGAACCTGACCACAGGGTTCTAAAGAGTAAAATTGTGGTCTGCAACATCACACCTTTTTTTTTTTTCTCCTTGCCTCCTACACAAAATGTTTTTCTGCAAAAATAGGTTCAAGCCCTTTGTCAATTGAAATAATCAGTTTAGGCAACTGTGATGTCCTCTTGAACATACAGCATTGTGTCTATACTAAAAATTTAAGCTAGTATATATAAAGAGCAGAAGTCACTGGATATCTCTTGAAGCATGCACTTGAACACTGGTTTAATATCACTATAAATTACCATATTTGATTGCCTCATTGTATCTCATGGTCTAAATCTTCAAATGTTATAGCTAGCAAATCTGCCTCAAGATTCATTTTGCTAAGATAGTGTAATTACTAGATTAATTATGAATCTTAAATTTGAGTAATGTATTAAATCTTACCTTGTCCTAAAGAAAGCATGCATCTATGTAAGCGAGTAACAAATCATAGAAGTTATCTGCTCCTAAATTGCTTTAGTTTTGTTTCAGAATAAAAACTCAATGTTACTTGTTTGGAACTTAAGCAAGTGTAAAAGCTGAAATTTATGCTGAAACTAAAATTATCTACAAAGCTACAAAAGTAGAAGCTATACAAATATAGAACAATTCTTAAAGCCCTACACTAGGGATCTTCTAGAAAACCATATTCCCAGCCAATAAAAATCTAAACTATCTTGTTCACTCTGATGTGGTAAAAAAGAATGGTATAAATTGTATCAGATTAGTATATTCTGGGTTACAAAATGACATTCAAGTTCCTGTTTCTTGGTTTCTATTCCTATTCAGTGTTACTTGCCCCTTTCTCTAATGTGTTCCAGCAAGAAACGAAACTGTTCTGAGTCACAGTTAATTCTCAGTCAGGATTATTTTTGTAGCTTTAAAAAAAGAAAAGAGAAACAGCAATTATGCTAAACAATTTTGTAATTCTTTCAATTTTATTGTTTCTTTTTTCATTTAAAAAATCAGCCATGATTTGTAAACAACTTACTACAAGTATTTTATTTTTAATTCCTCTTTTCAGCTGAGAAAAAGAACATGCATGGCAGTCGCTTCCCAAATGAATGTCCCAAATAGCACCTGTGCTCTGTAGCAATTATTAATTTCAAATGTCAAATACAGTTCCTGAATACATTAGCCTGAAACTCAAAATAAGGGTGGGAAAAGGAATACAAGCATAGCCAAACTCAACAACTAAGCAGAACGTTTAACAGAAAGCAAATTCAGGCATACTAAAAAATAGTTTCAGTGAGCATTAAATATTTAATAATCAATAGGTAGTAAAACTACTTTACAGCTGAACTGAATTTTAGGTCTTATTTGGCAACTGGATCCTCACTGGAATCAGCTGAGGCTACACTCGGTACAGCAGGGGAGACACCCGGTTGCCAGATGGAACCCAATTCTTATTTTCTCTTCCAACCCTGTTCTCTGGGATGCCATGCCACCCTCCGGCCTTCACCCTTCATTGACATTTATTTGATAAATTGGTATGGTTTTCCCCCTGAATTCCAGCTAGGGCCAGCAGATAGCCAAATGTCCACGTTTTTAGGACTTCAAAGCACTCTGAATCCCCTTTCTCTCCATTTTAATGGGGAAAAAAGAAAAAGGGAGTTTCTCAACAGCTTTTCCGCTTTTGTCTAGCCGTAGGTGAGGGAGCATGGCTCAACTCTAGAGAGGGATGATGAGGAGCCGCTTCCCACCACCTCGGCGGGCCGCAATCCTGGGACTCGCGAGGAGAGCGGACCGACCAACGTGCCTCGTAGGCTTTGCGAGAAAAGAGCTACCTGGCCGCCACTGGAGCTGCGGCGAGCACAGCCTCCACAGAAGCCAGACCGAACCGAACCGAAGCAAAGGCGCTCGCTCCGCTGAGCCCGTGCCGGCGGGAACCTCCTCAGCGCCCAGCCCGCCTCCGGCTCGAACCAAACCCCACCCACTAAGCTCTGCAGCGGCCGTCTGAGCTATCCCCACCCCCCCGCATATGAGATTGGCAGGGTTCCGTGTCACTCATATCGGACTCCGTCTCCCGCCGCAAGTGCTCAACTGCCACCGAAGCACCGCCTTCTTCCAGACCGCCTAACGATTAGTTGCCAGGATTGCCAATCATAAACGCTCTTAAGCTTGATTGGCCGAAACTCGGAAGGGGGTGAGCCTTTTGGGCCGGTGGTGTTTACCGTGCGTGAGGTGAGGGCTGTTGAGGAGTGGGGAGAGGTGCCACTCCCCTCGGCGGGGCTGCTCAGGCCTGGGAGCTGTCACCGCCATGGGGCTCCGCCGGAAAAACAAGGGCCCGGCGGTGCTAAGCCACGAGTTCGTCATTCAGAACCATGCGGACACCGCGTCCTGCCTGGTGATGGGCCTCCTGCTGGGGCTCGTGTTCGAGGTACTGGGCGGGGCGAGGGGGCCGGTGGTTGCCGAGTCGAGCAGCACCTGGTCCTGCTGTGGGGCAGCCGCGGCGCCCTTGGCTTCCCGCTCTGGAGTCTCCCCAGTACATCCCTCCCGCTCGCTTCAGCCTCGCTGCCAAGCAGCTCTGCCCCACCCCCTCCGGCTCCATCTGCTTTTTCCCTTCTTCCCTGCAGGGTTATGTCCCTGTTTCTTCTCCATCCCGAGGCCTAAATCCGTGGCACCCTGCGCGGGCACCCTCCTCTCCATGTCTCGGCTGTCTTCCGAGTGCAGCAAGTTTACTTCTCTCTGTCCTGCCTCAGCTCACAGACTCCCAGTGCCTTCTCTACTGAGTTGTCTTTGCCAGCTCCCACTCCTACTATGCAACCTCCTATCTTGTCCTCTTCTGTCAGATTGCTGCTCTTTTCCTTTTTCGTCCGGTTTTCCTTCATCTCTGCGTATGTTTCATTCCTAGCACCCTCCCATAAGCTCCCTTCTACTCGGTTCTAGTCTCCCGAATTGTAAAGCTCCTCAAGCCCCCTTGCTTAAAGCAGAGTCGTTTTATGTCTCTTTGTTGTGTCTATTTATTTTTTTCTGCCCTCCCTCCTCTGTTCAAAAGTCCACGTGGTAAAGCAGTTAGGAACGTTGTTATAAAGAGGGTTTCAGACAGTCTCTGTTGTTTTGAGCATGCTTGACTAGATGGTAGTTTAAAAACTGCTAGTCACACTTTTGCACCACTGCTCCGTCTATTGCTGTCGTTGGCTCAGCTCCCTAGTGATGGATAATCTGAAGAAAAATGTGGGATTAGACAGTCTTAGC